ACTCTTTCCTCAAACAAAGGCTTTTCTAACACACTGGAGATTTAGTCCTTAGAAAAATATGTAACTATCAGAGATGGTTTCGTATTTATGACAAATAACTTGTACGTATTTTATGGCAATGTAAAAAAGCCCAGGATTCCAAAAGCGTGGACAAAAGCTAGGTCCATCACAACAAAACTAGAATCACTCAAAAACACAACAAAGTACTACATTTTCCTTCTTCCCCTTAAAGGATCCTTATTAAAGTATGCTCTCTCCATTTTCATCTGTTGACATGGATGGTGATTTTCTTGTATGAAGACTTTTTGACTTTTCATTAATAATTGTAACCAATTTGTTTCAACTATAAAACAAAATTAAAAGTTTTTCAGATAGCAGCACACTTCAAAACCAAACAAGTGTGAATAAGCACTCCAGTCTCAATGTCCCTGAACTTCGTGCCTAATTCTAAAAATACGTTTATATGGAAAGAACAAACCCATAACACTGGCTCCAACAAGCCTCTGGCTATAGGGCCTTGGAGGGGTGAGCTAAGTTGCCTTTACGACATGCAAAAAGTGGGTATTTACTTTGCTTTCCTGTTTACAGTTTAACACAGTTATAGGGAATTATTAAGACCTGGAAATGCATTTGTTTAGGTAAGACTTTCATAAAATTATAGAATAACTCAGGTTGGAAAGGCTCCTGGACATTATCTGGTCCAACACAGCTCCCAAAGCAGGGCCAAGTTCCAAAGTTACACTGTCTTGTTCAGGCATTGTCCAAGGTATTGTGGGTATCTCCAAGGACGAAGATTCCGTAACATCTCTGGACAATCCATTCCAGTGTTTGACCACTCTTTCTGGAAGAACATTACAAAGCACCTACATGCATAATGAAATTCAAACACCACAGTGCCATTCATTAACAAAGCAGCTGTCAAACCAAAGAAACAGTTCACAAACATTAATTTCTATCCCACTCCACTGTGTCCGTCATTGCTTCCGACATACAGCATTCACCTTCTGCCTCCCTCTGCTTCTAAAAGGTACAAACACCATACCAAGACACTACCAATGTGACAATATCTACAAGAAGAAAGTACAGTGGCTTCAGACTGATATTTACCTCAAAAAGAATGGTAGTTTTTCAAGGGAAAGGCAGAATTTCACCCTTTTCCTTCACTTAATGAGTTTACATAAAATGCTTCCTATATCAACAATTTCCTTTGATTTATTAGTTTTATTTGGTTTGTAATATTGTTTCAGGGAAAATTAAAAATAGATTTAGGGAATATGCAAGCAACAGATGTAAACAATACCTTGAGAATTTAAATCTAAGAATCAGGAACAGACCTTTGACACCAAACATACGTCAAACTGTATTTCCAAAGTGAAAAATATTACACTTATTTAAAATCAAGGAAAAATAATGAAAAGCTTCATCAGTATATAGTCACCATCAACTCCACTTCTTCCACAGCTGGCTTAGAGCTGTCTGTCCCTGGCTCCTCTACACTGCTGATGTGATTTTTCTGAAAGTTGTTCCTTAGTTTATCACAGAAACACAGAAGAGTTGAGATGGGAAATGACTGGTCGAGATCCCCTAGTCCAATCCCCCCTGCTCAAAGCAGGTCAGTTAAAGCAGACTGCTCAGGGCCACCTCCCATTGGGTTTTAAGTATGTCCAAGGGTGGCTGATTCAACAACCCATCTGGCAGTCTGCTCTGGTGTTTGACCGACCTCACAATAAAAAAGTTCTTAAATCCATGCTGACTACTTACAGTCACCTGTCATTCTTAACATGATCAGAAACTATTTTCAAGATTATTTCCCCCATCATCTTCTCAGGGATTGAAATGAGGATGACTGACTTACTATTTTCCCAGATCCTTATTCTTGCCCTTCATGAAAATAGAAGTGAAATTTGTTTTCTTCCAGTCCTCAGAAACCTCCCCAATCACTCAGTGCTCCCTCAGCACTCATGGGCGCATCCCACCAGGCCTCATGGACCCATTCTGTCTGTTTAAATGTTCCCCAACCTGATCCTCCTCAATCAAGGACA